CACCCATAGCTCAACAAAGTTACGCGCTCACATCTTGCTTGGGGCTGATGGCATCAGAACGAATTGTTTTCGGTGAATATAATTGCTCTTACTCTTAGGTCTGAATTGGGGTTATATGCATGTATGTCAAATAGTTATCGATAACTGTTTGAGATGCTTACATAACTATTGTCGATAATATAGATAGATATCTGTAATTAGTGTTACCGATTGAAATTATGTTCTAGTACTACGATTTGTGACTTTAATTTTTCACCTGGCATATATTTATAGAACCTAGTTGGATTATCGATTATCTTGATCGATAGCTGTTTGAGATGCTTTCATAGCTTTTATCGATAATGTAGCTAGATATATGAAATTAGTGATATCGATTGAAATTATTGGACTATGAGTTATGACTAGTTGGATTATCAATTATCTCGATCGATAGCTATTAGGGATGCTTTCATCACGCTATTATCGATAATATAGCTAAATATCTGAAATTAATGTTATCGATTGAAATTATGTTCTAGTACATCATAATGATACGATTTAAGGCTTTGATATTTTGTGCGATTTATATTTAGATCCTAGTTAAGTTATCGATTATCTTGCTCGATAGCACATGTCAAAGCATAGCTCGATAAAAATGTGAATGCTATCAGAGTGTATCTTACATAATCTGTGCTTTCTAGGTTAAATTTAAACAAATAATGGAATAATGAGCTGGAGTGGGAACAGATTTTCACTGTAAAAAAGTCAAGACAGCTTTTCACACAAATTAATGACCTTATTTGAGTTATATTTTGTTTAACACCAAATTATCTATACTTGGGAAGAGTTAATGAGGAGTTTGGGAACAATTAGTTTCATATAAAACAACGACTCAGAAAAAGTTCTGTAAAATGGAACACGAACAGGCAATGATACACTGAGAACAGGTAAACTGAGAACACATTTGTGGGAGACTAAAGCAAACGCTTGGAGAGCGTTAATTAGGAACAGAATGAGAATGGGAAGGAGAAGAGTTATTCGGTTGAGATGTATTCATGAATTGCTACTTAAATAGAAACCCTATCACTTGGGAACAGTTTGTGTGTGCATTCGAGAACAGTTGAATGCATCGGGAAATGCTCGATTAGGTGCAGCTTAACTTTGAGGTGTCTGTCGATTCAGTGCTTTGTGGGAACAGTTTGCATGCGAGCTGAACCTTGGCTCAAGCTGGCAATAAATTGCCCAGCTATCGCCGCAGAAGAGGGCGGTGGGCCGATGGATGGTGGATGATGGGTGGTGTGTCGGTGTGCTTGTGGCAGTGTCTGAGACTAGTGCTTGGCATGGCGTTTGCATTGTGGTTGCCAATATCTTACGCTTGGCCAGGCACCTGGATGAAGTCAGCTGCCGGCTGCAGCTGCAGGCGGATGTGCCAGCTAGGCGACGGATGTGTCGACGGATGGAACGCTTGAAGCGGATGTGAAGCCAAGTCGCTATGTGCTATCCAAGGCAAAGGCAATGAATGCAGCCAAGCAGCCAAGCAGCTCAACGTCTGCTTCCTCCACAGCCTGCTTCGCTTTTGTCTCTGGAATCTTGGCTGTCAAATATGTTTCATGAAGATTTAACGCATTTGCAGCGTCAACGAGGCGGCTCATTATAAGCCGCGATGGCTTCGCCTTTTGGCTGCCTCTCTACGCGCTTCTCACTCACATGTGCAATTTTAATTATGCACGTCAAACGCTTCAGCTACCAAATGCCAAATAGACATCTACGTTTAAACAGGCATGGGTGTGTATGTGTGTGTATGTGTGCCTGTACGTGTGTGTGTGTGTGTAAGCCAAAACTTCRATTGTCATGCCATCAGCAGAGCACGGAAAATGGCGCGTAACGATGTCTTAATTAAGACTCGTCAAAGGGCAACTCGCAGCACGGTGCAAAGGATGTTCTGTGTGTGTGTGCCCCATGGTGTGGCAGCTGTGGCAGCTGCCTCCCTCGCATGTGCCGCATCAAATATCGAAAATCAGTTTTGCTTCCAATGACTCGACGAAAATCGCGTCGTTTGTCTCTTCGGGCTGGACCACGTTTATTATGTTAATTTCGAAGTGTCACCCTAAAAGACATAATATATACTTGCTGCATAACAAAGGCCGGGCTATTTTCGCCGACTCATGCCGGCGAGAGCGACAGCTTAGCCAGTTAGCTAGCTTCTTTATTAACCAACAGCTGCGATGGCATGACAGGCACAAGTATCCGATGTATTTTGTACTCAGGTCGAGTTCCAGTTTTGTGTAATATATGTCTTTAGCTTGAAGGCAAGTCAATCACATATGAGCTGCACGTTCGTTTAATTGCTGTCCTGCCGTACAGTCAGGCCGTCAATCGGTTAAAGTAGTTGTATCAATAGTGTAGCCGTCAGCGAAGTCAATTGCGCAATCAATCAATCAATCAATCATTCAGATGTTTATATTTTGGCAAAACGATAGTCAAGCCATTTATTCAAACAGTTTATTAATCACTCTATCGATCAGTCAGTAAATCATGCTATCTATCAATCAGGCCATCTCTTAATCATATAGTCAATCACTCTATTTATTAGTCAGCCGATCTTTCAATCACTCAGTCAATAATTCCTTCCATCAGCTGGGCAACGTCTCAATAATTCTGTCAATCATTTTATCCATTATTCCATTAAACAAACCTTCTGTCCATATGTTTGCCAATCGCTCAATCATTCAGTCAATCAGTATATCCAACATTCCTTTAGTCAGTCACTTAATAGATCAGTCAGTCAATGTCTTAATCAGTCGGTTAATCATTCTATCCATCAGTCAGAAAATGTCTCAATCACTCAGTCAATCATTCTATCCATCAGTCAGCCAATGTCTCAATCAATCAATCATTCTATCCATCATTCCACTAGTCAATCACTTTATGCATCAGTCAGCCAATGTCTCAATCATTCGGTCAATCATTCTATCCATCAGTCAGAAAATTTCTCAATCATTTAATCAATCACTTTATCCATCAGTCAGCCAATCTTTCAATCAGTCAGTCAATCATTTCATCTATCAGCTAGCCAATCTCTCAATCAGTTAGTCCGTCACTCCATAGGCCAATTCGTCATTCAATCTCTTAATCAATCAGCTTTTCAAGTGTAATAGACATGACTAAGACTCATCATGTCTATCTATCAATAGTTTCCCTCAGGAACGATTACTGAAGCCCATTTAATATTCGACAATATACATAGAGAAAGAGAGAGAGACGCTCTGTCTCTCTTCTTCTTCTCTCTTCTCTTCCTCCTTTTCTTTCTCTACGAAAGTTAAATCGCTTTCAACTGGACTCAAGTGGGGCTTTCGATGTGAAATTTTACAATTTGTACGCCATTTTTCATGGCTGCCCTCGAAAGTGTGCTACACTCGGTGCGATTATTCAATTCCATGAGCCACCCTGCTGCCGTTTACGCTCGCCCATTCTGTGCGCATGCCGCATGTATGCATGCAACTGACAGTTGCCACAAATTGCGTCCTTAAAATTGTTCAAACTTTATTTCTTGCAGCATTGAATCAAAATCGATGGCCTGGGAGCAATTGTTGCTAGTTAGTTTGTTGTTGTTGCTGTTGTTGTTGCTGTTGTTGCTGCTGTTGTTGCTGCATCAGCAATTAGCCAAAGACAACAATGGAGAAGCAATAAACATGGTTGCTTATAAGTTAGGCAGGACGCAGGAGGCAGCCGTAGGAAATGGCAGGAAGCATGAGCCGGGTATCTCTGGGTCCCATGTTGTTGTTGTTGTTGCTACTGCTACTGCTGTTGCTGCTGTTGCGGGCAACAAATGAACTGCACAAATGAAAGTCACAGGACCAACTTGTCGACAATGGCAATGGCGCCCAGCCACGCCCCCCCCCGGCTCCGCCTCCAACGCGCCGACTGCTGTGTTTAGCGCTTTATTTATGGCAGCAAATGCAGCGCGTAAATCACACACACACACACACACACACACACACACACACACACACACACACACACACACACACACACACACACACACACACACACACACACACACACACACACACACACACACAGACAGACAGACGAAACATACACCAAATGCCATTAAGCTGCATTAGGAGGCGTTGGGGGCGTGACTGCACTGCAGTCAACTGAAACAATCAAACGGAAATTAATTGCAGAGTGTGTGAAAAGTGAAAGGCAGTTGCAAGCCGTTTGGCTTTTATCGAGCAAAACTACCCATGCCACGCCTACTTTTCCGCCGTCATACACCTCGCGAATGCCTTCAATTTAATGATTTGCCAAAGGAAGTCAGAAGCGGATTTTCGCTCGTTATGAAAATCAGTTAACGCTTTTCCTTTTACTGCACAACTGAAATTTTAAAATTTCATTTGAAAATTGAATTGAATCGAATTCTATTTCTATTGGCCGAGTCAGAATTGGCTAAGCAAAGCTCAGTTAGCTCAGACCAAAACTGCATTGAAAACAGCTTAAGTTTGATAATATCTCTATATATCGCTTTTTATATATCTCCCTATCTCTCTCTCTCTCTCTCTCTCTCTCTCTCTCATTTTCTCTACTGCTTTCTTCTCATCTGTCATTTCACTTTATCTCTAATTTTTTATTCTATTTGTTCTCTCGCATTCCCTCTCTACTGTCACTATTTCCGCCTTGATCTTTCTTCGTTCTTCGATATCTATCGATAAATAAAAGCTTGTTTTTATGGAAACTGATGCGTAGTAGCCTTTTAGGATTACAGATTCAGTCAGGCTAAATGAATTTCACTGAACATACATATACTTAAATTATAATCTACACATCAAAAACAGAAAGTCGCAAGTAGTCAAAGAGATTTTAAGTGAAGTACCATTAGAGAAGGCAGCAAGAGCAACCACTCCCCTCCCAGGCCCCTTTCCGATTCTAGAGCGGCGAGTGGTAAATGGGAAGAGTGATATAGAGACAGAGAGTGTGTGTGAGTAGGAGCCTGTGAAAGAGAAAGTGAGAAATAGTGGGATAGAGAGAGAGAGAGAGAGAGAGAGAGAGAGAGAAAGAGGGAGTAAGAGTAAGAGTGAGAGGGATAGAACAAGAGTTGTGAGTCCTCTTGAGCAACAGATACGTAAAGATACACCTGGAGAACACCGCAAACCCCTTCAATTAGCTCACCCAGGACGAGCTAAATTCAGGATCGGGAATTTCGTTCTATTTTAAAGTAAGTTCTGTCTCGCTCACTAACTGCCTCGCTAGCTCTGTCCATCCTCATGCTCGCCCTCTCTCGCCCGCAGATGGTTATCAATCTGAATCCAACGACGCTGACTAATGCGAACGGTCACAGCAGCCCAATGGCCATCATTAGCCATACGGTAATGGATGATATCGTCTATATGCATGTGGTATGTCCGGGCGATGAGATCTCCAAGTGGGTAACCTTAGAGGAGGCATTGGCCCTATGCCCGGCGGCAGTCATTGCCTATACGCAGCTAACGCTGGCGCACCTCTTTGGCTCGCCCATTGATGATCAGGAGCCCAGTCTATTTGACTGATATCCGAGGAGTCGCTCGCTGTCGGCGTCTGTCACCTTTCTATGACTGCTCCCTCTGCTTGAAGCCTCGAAACTGCCACCACACTAATACACGAACACAACGAAAACCTATCGATAGCTTAGACAGCAACCACAGCAAGCAGATTCACGCAAAAAATGACAACAGTTCGAAAATTAAGCCAAAGTTCAAAGTTTCGATATTAAATTCCGCATGTGCATATGATTCCCTTAGATATATGTACGAAAATCATTGTTAGCTTATCTGTTAGTAGTAGTTTATCAGATGTTAGACACAGGCGCGTTTACATTAATATATAGACAGGCAGAAGACCTCTTCTTCGATTAGAACAAATCAAGCTAAAATTTCAAGTTTCCATCTTCTACATACATATATAGTTATATACGCATATATAGATTTAGATATATGTATATAGTTTCTTTTCCGTCTTTCATGCAAGCAATTTTGATTTAGTTGGAAATTCTATAGAAGTATACAAGTTGGCAAATATTTTCGAGTTGGTTCTTAAGCGTGGTTTTTATAAATTTAATGAGAGCAGTCCATGTACTAAATTTAATAACTATGTAACTCCAAATCTATTATATAATAATATTGACAATTGAGTTTTTATATAAGCTTTCTAAATTTGGTTGATTTTCATTTCTGAGAATTATAATGGCGATGACTTTGAAATTTACAACGACAATAACTATGTTTATTAAAATTATAATGACAAGTATGCTGGGAATGATACAATAATTCCCGGTTAATAATATTGGGGTGTGTAATGCAGGGCTTACGCAAATATATGTTGTTAACATGACAAAAATGTTGACTTAGTACATTCTCAAATTTCTATACATGCAAATGAATTCGTTTATAAATTTGTAATGTTCTGCGAGTTCTATTTATCTATTTAAGCGCTGGGTTTAGGTTTGTTTTTTGTTGAATTCCATTAGAGTAAATTTCATCATACTTTCAGTTATTTGACTTTATGAATCGCATGTAATACTTTTTATTTCTCAAGGTTGCATACGGACGTGCTTCAATTTGGCCCTGTGGAAAGCAATTCATAGACCAAATTCTCTGATGATTGGACCACAATAGTTGGGGCCGATAGCCTGCTGAAGGCAGTTGGTTACAAAACTGTTCGTTGCTCTGCCATCGAGATTCAACCGGACAAACTTGTCCTTGGCCCGTGATCACGTGCGCTTGTCGCATTTGTCAGTTACCTGACTGAGCGAACAGCAACAGCAGCAACAGCACACACACGCACACACACATACAGACGCGCACATATACATGCGCGCCATTAAATTGTTGACAACGCGGCGTATGCGTAATGCGGTCGTGCCCCATTTTGTATTGTCCTGCGTTGTCCTCTATCCACCTGCTCTTTACTCTTCACACGTCTGTGCTTTCACCTTCTTTTCTGCTTTGTTGCGCCCAACCTTATGCGCGCACCAAATTTGTCTTGGCTTAGGCATTTCAATTGCAAATTAGCCCATCCCTCCTTGCTGCTTGCTCCCTGTCCGCTGCCTCTGCTGCTGCCTGCTGCTCCTTTTGCTTTTCAGTTTCTTTTTCTGCTTTTATCGTATACCCTTTGCTTCGGGTGCTATGCTGCTGTCGCTAAACATCGAAAAAAAAAAAAAAAAAAACAGAAATAAATATGAATGTATGTATATACTCTAAATAATATGTTAAAACTTACCTACAATTATACAGTATTTAAATACAAATTAAATACTTTTTGGTAATAAATAATGCCACACGCTTGTCCGTTAGGGTATTTAAGTTGGTGCATGCCTTGGCCAGCTGCTCTCTATTTTCTCTCGCTCTGCTTGCGCGGCGCCATCTTCTTTTCTCTGTTTTCTGTTTACTTTCGACGCTGGCCTGCTTCAGTTTTTACTTTGGCCACATTCAAAGTGTACATTTCGCTTTTTGCGTGGCAATTTGAATGATTTATGTTGATTGCGTATAATTGCATGTTGTGCTTCGTTCGCGACGCTCTCCCGCCCGGCCACAGCCATCCCAAATGCCAGTTCCCACCAACAGCAGCAACAACAACTTCCACGAGTTGCGCCTTTGGCATGAACGATCCTAACCTCAGACATTTGCATTGTTGCTGCCCGCTGCTGGCGCCGTTGTTGCCGTTGGCGTCGGAGTCGGAGTCGTCGTCTCAGCTTTTATGACGCGTCATCTGTCAGCGACTTGTTGTGACATTGTCTGCCTGCTCCACAGGGGCGTGGCGTGAGAGGGGACCAAGCGGGGCTTGGCTAGACATTGCGCTGCTTATCTAATTATGCGCCCAAAAGGCACGCAACACAAAAATGCCATCGCCCCACACCCGCTCTGCCCGACCAAGTGCCGGTTGACTGTCTTTTGCGGCACGACGCTTCATTTTTCTAACCAGGCAAATGGACGGGGTCGCTAGATGTGAGGGAGTGGGCAGGAGTGGGGCTTAGCCTAATGGCAAGGCGCGCGCGCATTTATTTCGCTTGTAAACGAGCGCAATTTGCAATTTGAACGCGTCCATTCGGCAGCGGGATACACACACTTACACATATCTATATATGTATGTGTTTATGTATGTATCTTCTACCTTCTCTTGTTCCTCCTGCCCACCTGTCAGCCATTTGCAATTGAATATTTATTTGCCCCCGACTAGGGGCGTGGCACTCAACTAAAAGTTATTACGCATAAGCAATAGAAAAAAATTTGAAGTAGAATGGGAAAGGAAGAGCAGCCAAATTTTGCACTTTGCTAATCAGACTAAAACGCGAACAGTGTGACCATGCTATGCAAATTAAAAAGCGGCATACATGCGATGTATTTAAATACCAGCTGAAGATCGTTTGCTGGAATTGATTTTAATTAAATATATATATTATTAGCTATAAGTTATTTAATAATGCAACTTATAAATAACAATAATAAAATTGAATTATTTTCATTGTTTTTGCATGTATTTGTGATAGACATACATAAAGTCGTTATTGCGGATCTCAAAATTAGCCACCTATCAGGCGGCTGGTCACACTGTTTAACAATGCGCACGAACTTGCGTCGCAGATTAGAAATGGCAGCAGAATGCAAAAACGAAATGAACGCAAGCTGAACAGACTAGCACGAGTAGGAGCGAGAGCAGGACAGCGAGTGAGTGAGTAAAGGAGCAAAAGAGAGGAGTGGAGTGGAGTGGAGTGGGAAACGTCAGCTAATAAAATGAACTTTATGCGCGAACGTGCGTGGACTTCAAACAGCAAAAGGAACACGCAGAAGAAGAAGAAGCTGGGACACAYATTAAAATAGATGCAGCAAAGAGACGGAGAAATATAGAGCAGAGGGCAAGGGAGTAAGGCACTGTTGGATAGTTATTGCCCAGTGTCCCTGTGTCAGCTCTCTTTTATACTCTCTCTCTATCTCTCTCTTTTTCTGTCTCTGTCTCAGTTACAGTTTCAGTTGCCTAATTATAATTTTGCAATTCTGCTGGCGCATGCAAAATTCATGACTGCCGGGGGAAGAGGAAGAGGAAGTGGAAGAGGAAGGTAATGGCGTGGACGAAGCGGGAGAACGGAGGTGCTCACATAACATTGTGCCTCTCTTTTGCACTCACACTCTTTGATGCTGCTGCTGCTGCTGCTTCTTCCGCTGCTCTTGCCGCTGATGTTAACATAAAACATGACAACTTCCGGCTGCTATTTTGCTAAAAGCGCAGCGAGCACGGGACGTGGGCGTGGCAACTGAGAGGGGCGCACGTTAAGCGTTTTATGGCCAAAAATGTGCGTTTCATTTGGCACTGGCAGCGTGCTCCGTTCGCTTTGCGCTGATTCCCAAAACTTCCGTTGAAATACCTTAGCAAAAAAATAATAAAAGGGGATATTCAGTGAGTGGGACAGTTGACTTAATTTGAAAATTATTTATTTTAGACAAATGTAAATATTTATACTGGAATACTGGATGGAGCATATTTACGGCAGTATCTATCCTTCGTCAAGTGAGTTAGAATAAGAATAGGATACCCAGGTATGTATATAACGTCATCTTAAAAGTTGCGTTTATTTAATTGAATTTCTTTTCACTTAGCATCATTAACAGAGTATCGCTCAGTCGACTATTTTCTTCTTAAGGTTTTCACTTGTTATTTGCTGCTTTTCTGCAAATGTTGCAAATCTTGGCGAAAAAAGAACTTGTCGTAAAAATATTTTCATCAGCCAAGATGGGGCGTGTCCGAAAGGGGGTAGGGGTAGGGGTAGGGTTCGGCGACGGTGTTTGGGAGCAGGGGCTGGTGCGAAATGAAGCAATGAAAACGGGCAATAAACAAATGGCACAGCGCTGCGGAAGCTAAAGCAAAGCGCACAAAATGGCGGCCAGCGCACCGGAAGACAAAGACATCAGAAGCCACTCCCCTCGCCCAGCCTCGCCCGTCTCTCGCCAGCCCGCTCTGTTTTGACTGGCGGGGAATTTATGAAGCATAAGCTGCATAAACATTTAGATTACATAAGCGTCAGGCTCGAGCATATCCTGGGCCAGGACACAGAAAATCCAGCGACGCTTGCAACATTTTAAGTGTCGATAATTTTTGGTTCACTCAATGACAGGGCACAGCGGGGCGTGGCAGGGCATGGCCGGAGTGTCAGCGCCTCCACGCTCACGGAGAGCTCATGCATATGCATCGACTATGCAAATGACAAACAGGAGTGAAAGAGAGCGAAAGAGAGAGAGAGAGAGTGAATAGAATGAAACGATGCGATAAGCAAAGCATTTAAAATTGCATAGAAGGCATGGAATTTGCATTTGCTCAATGCAAGAATGAGAGAGAGAGACAGAAAAAGAGTGAGTGAGCGAGTTAGAGAGAGAGAGAGAGAGGCAAATGTAAATGTTTTGTGTCAGCAATAAACAATAGACTAACAAGTGAATATCCCCGAATAATTCGATGCAACTCGTGCTGAGATAAGTGCGGAGCATAATGGAATGGAATTGGGTTTGGAGTCAAGATTAAAGCACAGGGAAAACAAAAGAATATCTTGATTAAAAGAACGCTCCAACGCATGCCGAGCACAGTGGAATGAAATGGAACACTTTACAGAGACATAGATAATTATTAATTCAGCGAATTGAGAGGAGTTTAATGAAATGCATTCAAATGGAAT